TTACCCCTTACAGTGGCGTGCGAAAGTAATGCACCACCCAAGATAAATGTATATCTCTGCAACCACTTGACCATTCTCTTCGGTGTAAAAAGTAAACTTTTAGCCCTCCTTCTGGGCAACAATATGGCAGTACTATGGAGTGATGTAGGTGCCCCTATCAGGAGGGAGAGGCTCTACATCAAAGACCCCAATTTTCAACTTTTACTGAGAGTCCCGATAGACTAGCGGTTATGACCATCTGAAAGAGGCAAAAACACTGTGCAATTTTGATACCAGAATGACCCTGATTGACTACACCGTTGTGGAGATACAGGGCCAGAAAGTAGGGGGTCTAGGTGTAAAACTCAGAAATATTACACCAAAATCCCAACTTTCTGACCTCATATCTCCACAATGGTGTAGTCAATTTCTATGATTCCAGATTCTAAAATATACAGATTTTCCTGAAGATTTTAGCCATGCAATGTATGGAAGTCTGTGGTGTCTCTATGAGGAGATAAATTTTGACTACAAATATTGTTTCTGCTGCAGAAAGAGCAGATCTATTCTGATCGCCATGATTGTGGTTCTATCTGGTAGAGCTTCAAGAATACTACAAACTATGTGTTTACACCAAGAGGAAATACTGGTCGGAAAGTGGTGGTGCATTACTTTCGCACGCCACTGTATGTCGAGGATTACCGTTTGTGTGATGGAAATTAATTCCAAATATGTAGGGTGGCACTGTCAGGCATCCCCCGGCTGCCTAATCGTAAGCATCCTGTTGCCTACGGTACAAGCTATCACAGTGTTGAAAACATGCTGTATACAGTACACTGACTCTACAGTAACACTAATCGAGGGTGGCGGAATGCCACCCTAGGGCAGCAAAGAAGGCACTTGTTATCTATTCCTCAGATATATGTAACTGTAAAGCTTGACACCAAGTATCTGATGGATCGATGACTCTGACCACACCGGCAGGCCGCCAACTTGAGAGTTAGAAGTTGATATCATTCAGTATCATTCAGGTCAAGATGAAATAACTATGAGCATTGTTGATGCCGCGCAGCGCCCGGGGAGCAAGAAAGATTATTTCCCTGCTTGTAGAGTCCCTGCCGTGGGTTTACCATAGACTTTTATATGTGAGGAATCGGACCTGGCGTGCCGCGCAGCGCCGAATGCCTCCCAAGTGCACCGTACATTCTCTCACATACCGCCACAGGGTTGCTCAGTTACTTCACGCCACCGACCAATTCTGTATCGTACGGCAGTAGGAAGAGAAATGAGGTCTGTATGTCGGAAAATCTGGAAAAGACTGATAAGCCCTGACAGAACCTGACGGACTGATCAGGCATTATAATGTTATGTTTCAAGGCTGATAAGCCCTTATCAGGTGTTGTCAGGTTTGGATTAGGTAGGGGCTTCTGGTGGTGCTGTAATATCACAGGAATTCTGTAGTAGATCCTGTACGTCGGAAACATCTTGAAATACGGTCGTAGCCTTTACACGGATTGAGTATTTTAAAGGTGGCATGTTGACTACGGTAGCATTATAGTCTAAGTCTAAAGTTATGGCGAAATCTACAAGAGCCGTACGTCAGAGGACGTGAGCGCGAACGACGGTAATTACGAGTCGCCCGGTAAGGCAGTATGTATGATATATATATACCAATGTGAGACTCACACAGCTATTGTTGCGTAGTGTAGTAGTTATATCGTTAGTCTTTACATATATAATCATCGTTCAACTCAAGGCCGCTCGTTCGAATCAAAGTCCAAGTACCTGTATTAAAGTGACGTCTTAGATAGTGGTGTCGATGACCATCGGGTGGCGTGAAAGGCTCCTCTTTTTCTCATTTCTGGGACCCATGGCCTTATCCGGGCTTATCATGCCTTATAATGGCTTGTAACCCCCGTCAGGCCTGATCAGCCTGACGGAGGCTTATACGCGCTTTTCGATCATTTCTGAACCCGATAACTCTCCTCAAACCTGATTGACTTATCAGTCCATTATCTGGCATTGTATAGCAATATCATGCTTTTCTGATTTTTCCGACATATAAATTGTAAGGAACAGGCTGATTTTTGAAGGGAGTAGATTTAGTATCAGCGCTCAAGTAAATGAACACACCAGTGCACTCTACTGCAAGCGTAAGACGCCCAAACGTTAACAAGTAAAAATTAGCTCGCATATTGTTGAAGAGAATTCAACGTTTGGGCATGTTACATTTCCTGGCTCTCCTCCTTGCTTCGGGCCTCCGAGCCGCATATTTAACAAAAGAGCAGGTCCATCTCGGCGTCCACGGCATTCATACCCCAGTTTACATACAGCCTTGGTAGTTCAGTAATAAGCAGTATGCAACTCCAAAATTATACCCTGTGCCGACTGCCACACTTCAATTCTTAAGGTTCAAGTACTTAACTCGCGCGGCGTCCTACGCTTCAATCGGATGGTCGCAGATGATCCGAACCCAGGATCCTCTCTAGCAAGCACTCAACCTGATGTCCCTGCCGAAAAAAACTCACCTTTGTAGAGATCCACTCCAAGGGGAGGGGTAACTCACAAGGACAAGATAGCTCGGATGCGTTGGTATCAAAAGGTGGCATCGTGTATGGCGTGTACGGATACAAATGGTGTGAATACATGGAGTGTGTATGAAGGGTATTAATGCGGTGTGTGTGTGTTAAGGAGAACTAGGTATGATAAATACTACTACTAAGGTGTATATATGGCGTCTATTTCCCAAACTGCCCAAAAAGAATGAATATGCGTGGGGGGTCATTGTCATTAAATCGATGGAAAGAAAATTAAGGGTTCGTCTCTTGTCATGGAGACTCTTCTGGCACATCGGTTGGCGACAACGTCCGTTTCCGGCGCTCATCCGCGAGCACCAGCATCGTCTTCAAACTAGCCTCTCGAACAGGCTTCGTCAGTACGCTGGCGGGTTCCAAGATTAGCTACGACCGTAAAACGACATAAACAATGACTTACTGGTCAACCCCAGCCTCGAGATATTCCTGCTGATCGCTCAGCAGCGCGTTACCCGTCACTCCAACGACCAGGTCGCGCCTTCCACACTGGCGCAGCCTCCTGACTGCGTCCACGCCCGATAGGACTGGCATCTGGTTGTCCAAGAATACAATTGCATATCGACTGTGCGGCTCCTCGGGAGTCGCCCGCGCATCTCCCGCCAACCCATAACTGGCCGCAGTGTTCTCCGACGACGGGGTGGGCATAGGTGTAGGGACGAGCGACAACGGCCGACCGCCATTGATCATCTTCAACGCCATCTCTCCGTTCTCAGCGGTCGAGACATTACACCCCAGCCGAGTCAGCATCCGTTTCATCAGCGAGCGCGTTAACGGGTCGTCATCGACGACCAGGACGGGGAGGTCGGGCGTAATCTTTTCCCTCTCCGACTTTGGTGACGCCGGCTTGATAGTTTTCTCAGAAGGCACGCCGACTGTAGCTCCAGAGTCGCCCTCTTTCTCGCTGGACGGCTTAGACTCTGTAAGGGGCATTGGCCCAGGTCGTACGGGAGGGCTCGATTCTGCCTCCTTCTCTTTCTCCAGCTTCAACTCCCGTTGATAGAGAGGCGAGTCCGGTGTCGGAGGCGCATGGGCAGACGGCGGGTCAAGATCATCCAAGGACTCCTCCGAAGAGCCAACGGAAGTATCCGCTTTCTCGACGTGGCTGGCCAATATCAAAGCGGCGAGATTGCCCGGTTCCGTGATATTCTGTATCGCGGCCATGGCTCTTCGAGTCGGGGAGATGACAGGGTCTGACTCGATGTCGATTGGGGGAGTTGACTTGTCGCTGCCAGGTGAAGTTCCAAAATGTCTAACCTTGTGCTGACTTCCGCGCAGCGAAGTTGTGGGTGTGAGCTCAGGCAATGCCTTCCTCCCAATTCCCAGTGCTGTGACAAAACAAGTTAACCTATGATAAGCAAGAGTTTGGAAGTAACTTACGCAGCTCGACCCAGAACGTCGACCCCTCGTTAACCTTTGACTTCACGCCAAGTCGTCCGCCGCTGCGCTTGACAATCTGCCGTACCAGAGCCAGCCCAAGCCCGGTGCCTTTACCACCCTGTTGTCGACCTTGCTCGGTTTGATTGAAGGCAGCTTTCGAGCCCTTGTCAGCCTCTAAACGCGGAAAGCTAAAGTGCCAATAGACTCACAAAACAGCTTGCTTTCGACCATTTCCTTCGGTGGTATCCCGAATCCAGTATCCTGCACCTCAATTCTCACAACAATCCAATCAATGGGCTCCTTTGGAACATTCTGCTCATGTTGACTGAGGTGCTGCGCAGACAATACATGCTGGGTAGCATCATCTCCGAGCATTTCAGACTTGATCCACTGCTCATTGGATCTGGCGCCATGGTGGAGGTTCGACGTGGGCGTGGCGGCCCGGTATAGACTTAGAGAATTACCCGGGAGAACCAGTTTCGTGGTGATACTGACGGTGCCGCCCTCCGGAGTGAACTTGCAGGCGTTACTGTAATCACATCCCTTGTGAGGGAGCACGAGCGAAGCCTATACATCTCACACTCACCTGACTAGGTTGGTTATGATCTGGCGCAGGCGCATCTCATCTCCAACTACGATCCCATCGCCTTCGGCCTGCTCCAGCAGCAACTGGGTCATGGGATCGACTTGCTTCTCGCCGATCGCCTCGTTTAATGCGCGCATAGCAATCTGCACAGCATAGTATGAGACGTGTTCTGATAAACAAACGGCCGAGACACACCTCGTCTATTGACTTGTCGAAATCCGAGACAAGCTCGAGCTTGCGCGCATTGGTCGCAAGCTTGATAGGATTGAGAAGAGACCTCATCACTTGGTGGAACGCGTATGGCTATGTGAATCGTCAATATGCATGTTGTAACAAGGGGTAAAACGTCGCTATCTCACCTTTGACACCGACTCGAATCTCCCGCTGTCCAAGCGGTTACTAGAAGGAATCGTGAGCTGGTATTCATATGAGGACGGAGGACATATACTCACAAATCGAGAACGTCGTTCAAGACTTCGGAACAAACGCGTGTGAGCGACGGAAACTGAATTCTCCGGCGAGACGCACCTTTCGACATCATTGTTAGACTCGCCTCCAGCGCCCTGAACTCGACTTCCTGATCCTTAGCCACGACACCGGCGGCTTCCATATTCTGCACCGCCAACAGCGCGGTGTTCAGCGGGACGCGAACCTCGTGGAAGACATAACTTAAGAGCACAATGGTGAGAGAAGCTTCAGCAGTGCGACATAGCCAGTACTCACGAAGTCAGACGGCGCTTGGAATCTGCTGCCTTGCTCTCATTCACCTGCGCCTTTTGCGTAGCTCGGAATTGTATCTTGAGCTGGTCGCGCAGTGTGTACAGTCTGCGTTCAGCCTGTAGTATTGTATCTTAGGATGAGATGCAGAGAGTATCCGAAATGCACTCACGTTTTCGCGCATAAAGTGCACATACAGCAAGAAACCATAAAAGACTATGAAGTTCAAGAGATCTGTAGGAAAGCACCAAAAAAGAATTCAGTACTGATGACAATACACGCGGTAGAGGGTGCGCCCGGAGGCGGCGCGAATAGTCGAAAGATGGTCGTACTTCGTTCCCAACTCCGATGCAAAGGCTCAATGAGGGCATTCGAACTGAACAGCAAAAATCAACATCGCAACTCTCCAAGAATCCGGGAAAATACTCACATCACGAAGAATATAATAGCACCGATGAGGGCGGGTAGCCTATCTTGTTTGAGACCGAACAATGCAATGGTCGGGAGGCCAGAGGCGTAACTGAAATATGCAAGTCAGGATCCTGTAAGCAACGCGGAGCAGAACGCGTACTAGAAAGTGCCGACAAAATCCTTTTGTCCGCACGTGAACAGCCAGTCTGGATCTTCCCTGTAGAAGCCACACATGTACCTAAGGGTTACCGATTTGTTAGGCTTGGTAAGAAATCAGCATTCGGGAGGCAAACTGACATGAACAAGACTTGATATATCGCCCTATACACAAGTGTAAGCCAATTAAGCATCGCGACCTTCTGTGACAGGATACGTACCACATCCAGGTAGCACACAGCAGCCAAAACTGGTAGAACACCGGTCGATCACGAGGAAAGTCATACATGACAAAGAAAACCAGAGGAGCTGTCAACGCCGGAACGATAGCATAGTAGAAGATCTTGTCCATGAGTACTATTGGTTTCGGGATGAACGCGGTGCCGATAACCCATGTTGCAACGAAGAAAACAGCGGACCAAAGGGCGAGCGACTGGCGTTACGTGTAAGAGACTGGCAGACGAGGACTTGTGAAGCTCGACGTACCTTCCTAGTAAACCACAGCTCTTTCCGGTAGTGGTTCTCGCTCTTCGGATCGTCAAAGTGCACCCAGAAGAAATTCTTGACTGCGGGCCAGAGTCGCCATCGCAGAATTATCAGCGGCGTGCAAATCGCCCAGAACCCGTCCGAATACCAGATGATACTGTCCATGTCCGTGTTCGTACCCTGTGCGCCCCCGCCGCCCCCGGACTTCTCCCGGCTGTTCTCCTGGCCGTCCGACTGCGTGATGGACGTCTTGAGGTCCCGGCCGGCCCACTCACGGTCGACAACCACCTCGTCGACCTCGTCGAGCTCCTCCGCGTTCGCAAAGCGCGCGCCAGGCCGCGCGCTGCTGTCCGTCCCGCTCTCGTCTGGTATCTCCGAGGTCGACGGCGCCGTGCCCGTGCCCATGCGCTTCCTGAACCGGTCCCAGTGCACCCGCAGCCCGCCCTCTATTCTCGCCTTCTTGTGCCTCCGCCTCGCGGAGGAGGACATCGCGCTCTGCAGCACGGGCATCGGCAGTTTCTCTGAGTCGTCCCCAGCACCAGCTGGGGACCCGACAAAGTCCCGTACTCTGTCCGCGCGCGTGGTCGCGACCGCCCGTCCGTCCTCGAACTCTGAACGCGAGGAAGTGTTTTGCATTGTCTTGAGCGTATTCATGGGGTGTGATGAAGAAGGTGAAGGATCGACTGCCGTGCCCGACTCTAAAGTAGTCGAGTCCCTGCGCGATCTCGTCCGGAAGCCCATGAAAGCCATCGCGCCCCGCTATCCAGTGCCGACGGTGGGAGAGCAGGGAACGGCGGAAGGCAAGGCGGTTAGGGACGACGGCTAGCAGAACCGCTGCAGGCTGAGGGGCATGGCCCGCTATGCGACAACGGTGGCCCGAGTGGCTGATGGGTGTGTATGGGCCGGTATAATTTAGCAGGCGGTGCGCACGAAGCCGCGGTTGCGGTCCCGCAGCCGCCGGTTGCTCCACCGCCCAGACTGGTCCATTTCCCCATTCAGTTTGTATTCCCGCCGAATTGACGGGATCGCCCTTTCGCCGGGAACCTTTGGAATGGCTGGAGACGAACCGGAGGCTCCAAAGCGAGCCGTAGGATTGTGAGGGGGCTGTTTCGTCAGATTATAGAGCACTTTTTGTTGAAGATTTGGGCGACATCCACTTGTTTCGATTGCAGCTGGGAAACCATCCGCACGAGCACTGCACCCGATATAACAGTCAGGAACCAAATAAATGACGTGTTGCGATTGGTCGTGAGATCCAGCGATCGGACGCACCGCCATAGAGAACTGTTGACCGCCAGAGCTTGGCCAGAGCATGCGCAGTGATTCGACTTGGTCGTTTGTGGTCGTGCTTATGTCCCCCAGCCGTTGTTCGGCCGCAAACGACATCATTGTTGTGATAGTTGAGGGGGAGGTGCATTCTTCATTACACTTGTGATACATGACGGGACAGGACCGTGAATCAGGACCGTGATCGACCGTCAAAGAATTTCCAGAAAGGCAATCTTTAAGCCATCTCGCGCTCGTCTCTGACGTGGGTGAGAAATGTGATAGTGATTGTGAAAGCAGCGTACCCTTTCGAGAATTGGTCAGGGAATGTGGCGTCAACGAGTCGCCACTTACTCAGCGATGGACCACGCCTGCGACAGTCTTTCCCTGGTGCACACTGGGTATGTGTAACGTACCAGAGCATTGTAGACCGGTTGCAGATGATGCGGAGACCTAGGCCGCAATAGGCAAATTAATCAAGCAATGTCATGTGGCGAGCTTACTGGCAACTGCACCGATGGGAAGAGGCGTCGCTAAATGCTCAAACGTTCTGCGTCGGTCAAAAAACTCCGAACGCCAGGTAGCTGCGACGTAGAGACCGGAATAACTGCTCATTGGCATCGAAGCCAACACCTACGCATAGCAGGAAAGGTGTCGCCGACCGAGCAATGAGAGTCACCGACTATATGCTAATAATGCAACGCTCCGTCAGCATGTCTGAACAGTCATTAAAAATCGAGCAACTAGCCCTTGGCCTGGACGACAAAACATGGGCATTCCATAGAAGATCTGGCTCATGTGATACGCGACTCAGCGACTATATGCGTTAGATGATGCTTATGGGACGCACTATCGCGGTCATGACCCGGCCCCTCATCTGGCAATCCGAAGGTGCATGGCAGAGGACATCAACGAACCGCATATATCCAATCAAATGCCTCTTTAGCCATTTTAAGAGGTGTCGACAGCCCTGCCATAACATTCAAGTCGATTGGACGACTATATGCCATATCTTATTACCCGTGAAGCGCGACGCACCGTCAGCATGTCTGAACAGTCATTAATGGCCTAGAAAACTGCACTTGGAATCGACGACAAAGTATGCACATCTACGTAAGCAGGAATGTTGTCAACACTGCTACCAAGTTTAGCGACTATATGCCACATATAATACTGATGGCCGACGTACTATCAACAACTCTGTAACTCCTCGCAGCTCCCCTCGGACTAATCGAACGACGCGGAATACAGTCATCGTCCCTCATCGTGAGCGACGGCGTTGGAGAGAGAGGACGTCGTAGTTGGGTCCAAGAGAAAGTTCTCCAAGGACTGCAGTGGTCCGCATTATATAGTCTGTCAACGCATTCGAATCGGGTAAAGGGATTCCTATAACGGGTAACATAACGGGTAACATAGAATCGTGATAGTCACGGCAGGTCGTCACGGGCTTACAAAATCCCTAGAGATTAAATGGGCATTTCCCGCAAGTCGCAAATCATTGAAATCAAAGCCAAATTCAGGTCGAACTGCAGGCTCCTATAACCATCCGTCTCCGCGTCCTCGTTCCTCCTCTACTAGGGCGTGGGACTCTATGTTTATTATTAGTGCATTACATAAGTCAACTACTATAACAGGAAGGCAACTAAGAGGAAGAGAACGCTCTGAGACGGCTGGCCCAAATGGCTCCCCGAGGCATGCCCGAGGCTTACCTAACGAGCCAGCGCAACCAATAAACCAACCATTTATTCCAGCTTAGTCGCCTTCCCAAAATGGCGGTTGCAACGCTTGCGTGACTGTTCACTTCCTCGAGGCTCAAGCTCTGTGTTCTTACTGCCTGCTACATCATTACGTGAATCTGATGCCTTCATCGTCGCAAACGAAATGGTCCATAAAGAAGATCCGGGACCTGACTGAACAGAAGTTCCGAAAGCGCGCTTGTCTCTTCCAAGTGAAGGTGGCGCAGGCGATACGAGAACGAAGAAAGGATGTTGTAGCAGTAGCGGCTACGGGTTTCGGTAAAACACTGGCATTCTGGACTCCCCTTCTTATGGCTATGGCCGATGGAGAGGATAGATGTATTATTGTTGTATCCCCCCTGAATCTACTAGGCCGACAAAATGTACAACTACTTGAGGATGCGGGACTGAAAGGGGTAGCCATTGAAGCTAAGACTGCAACAGCAAAGACTTTCCAGGTAAGCAGTGTGGTATTATATACATGAATCTGAGACCTGATCTATTTTTTCCAGGAAATTGAGGAGGGTAGATATCAGGTTATAGTAGCCAACCCGGAGGTCATTATGCAGGAAGGCGGCCGTTTCGAGCGCTTGTGGAAAGTTCCGAGCTTCACCTCAAGACTACTGTATGTGGTCTTTGATGAGGCACACTGTGTCAGCCAGTGGAGCGACTTCCGAGAGCAGTTCAAGTATATCGGAAGCCTCCGGTATTTGATCCCGGGAACTATCCCGTTCCTTGTAGCATCTGCTACCTTACCAGAACCTGTTCTACAAGATGTTGCAGAGATTCTGCAGTTACGGCGGGGCGAGACGGAGTACATCCGACGCTCCAATGACCGTCCGGATATACACCTGGCAGTGCACCGAATGGAGCACCCTGCCAACTCTTATCGGGATCTTGCCTTCCTGATCCCGGATAACTTCCAGCCCACAGATATGCTGCCCCCCAAATTCCTAATATTTTTCGATGATAGAAAGGACACGGAGGAGGCAGTGAAGTATCTAAGGAGTCGCCTGCCAGAAGAGCTCCGGAGTAAAATCAAATACTTCCACTCAGTTATGAGCCCTGAATACCGGGAAGATGAATATGAAGCATTGAGGGAAAGTGATTTATGGGGCCTTTGTGTTACGGACTCATTTGGCATGGTACGAAACCATGATACCCTTGTGACACATTGTTAACGACATAACAGGGGCTAGATCTACCAGATATAACACTCATTGTCCAATGGCGAGCTACCTGTGATATCAATACCCTCTGGCAGCGGTTTGGGCGTGCTGCCCGGAGTGATGGCATTGTCGGGACTGCTGTGCTGTTTGTTGAGAAGGGTCAGTTTGATGAAGAACGGGAGAGGCTCCGACTGGTAGCAGAGGCACGGAAGGAGAAGGCCTCAACATCAGGAAACGCGTTCTGCGGCATAGGAGGACCCTAGCCACATAGTGCGGTATAGACAGGATAGACATTGATAGCAGGCGGCACGCGCCATAGGGACACATAGTCAACGTAGGTTCGATTCGCACATGTCGCATAATTTTTGCCACCTTGCTGCAGGGCACGTTTCCGAACCAGTAGAAAGATATTGAGTATAATTACATGATGGGTAGATATACAGAGAATGTCAAGCAGGGGGTTGCAGGAGGAAGAATGTCCGAATATCTATATATCTATTAACAAGGAATGTCTTACAATCTTCCAACACATTCTCGGATGTCCACCGAGGGCTGATCTCTGTACCAAACTTAGGTACGAGATGACATCCTCCTATAACATGCGAAAGTTCAATAACCTCAGCATTGGGTCTCCCGCCGCGCGTTGAACGAGAAACCCAATGCATCTGTAATGTCGGATCCCGGGCAGTGAATGGTGTAAACCATTCGACGTACGCAAGGAGGGTTGCATGTCGTCCCCGGCGGTATTGTAAATGTTCCGGTAGACGGAATATAACACGCAGCTGTGCGACGCGCAGTCCTACCCTCACGAAAGACATGTCGGCAATCAAGTACGAGCCTGGCAATGGAATATACGCACCGTGAAGAGCCGTGCCTATGGCATGGCCATTACTGTCACCTCCGTCCGTTTTAACCAACACCGTATCAAAAGCCGCAGGGCTCCTTCGCGTCCTCGTTTCCCCGGCTTGGCTGGCATGGCACGCAGGCGCTGTCGAAGCTTAGTCTTGTCGGTAACCACAGGGACCGCAG